CACTTAAGAATAAGTTACATACATAATGGTTCTTTACTCTTAAATATCTCAGTGTGGATTTCCTAATCATAGGGACAGTACGGTTATCAATGTCAGTAAACTTAACATTTATGCATAAATGCAACATCCATATGCTGACTTTAGCAATTGATCCAATGACGTTCTTTGCAGGATCTTTCCCCTCTGCAGTACTGGATCCAGTACAGGGCCAGGTGTTGGATTTGCTGTCAGGCCTCCTTAGCCTTCTTTAATCTGGAACATTCCCACGGCCTTTCTTTATCTTTCATAACATGAACATTTTTGAAGAGTAGGGTCCACCCCCCTTCCTTTTAAAAATAGACTGTTCATCATTTTGTGTTTGTCTAATGATTTGTCTTGTAATTAGATTCAGGTTATACGTTCTCAGCTGACTACTAAAGAGAGGATGTTGTGTCCTTTCCAGGTTATTCCATGTGGAGAAACCCAGTGTCCACCTGCCCCTCATAGATCACCCGGTCAAGGTATCAACCAATTGCTCCACTGTGTAATTCCTGTCTTTCCTCTTGTAACGAATAAGCAGTATGTGGGAAGATCCTTGAGGACCATCCAAATATCCACATCCTGCTCTTCGTTTCTTTGCTGAAGTTTAGCATCTATTGATGATCCTTGCTTGATTCCGTCTTAGCTGTCACAGTTGCAAAATGATGAGTTTCCAGCTCCCACGCTCCTTCCCCTTCACCAGGAGCGCTCCAGAGTCTGCTGCTGCAGTCCACTTGCTCAAGGCTTCTTGGGTGTGGCTCCAGGTCAAAAAAAAAAAAAAGTCTGCTGTGAGCCTGAGCCCCCTCTTCTCCCCTTTTTATTTATTATCAGTATGCGCTTGTGAATTCTTCCCCGCCCCCAATAGTATAGTTTATAACTCATTACTGTCCTTAAGTCATTATTGCCCTTAGTGATTTTGATAGTGAAATTGTCGCTGATTTGGTCATAGAGAGCCCCTTGAAGCTGGCTCCTTTGGCCTTGTGACATGCCTACATCATTTTTTTAAGTACGTCCTTACTTTCTGGCATGACAAGATGTTCTTATCTTGTATCTTCCTCGCCCCCTCCCTGCAGATTGCTGGGTTGTGCTCCCTGTTTTGACTTCCATCTGCCATTTAGTTTCAAAATTATAGAAAACCGCATCTTCTCTATTTATTTACTCACCGGCCCTCCCTATTCCCTATCCATCCCATAAATATTTATTCCTTCTTTTCCTCATGGGTCACATTGTGATGATAAAGAACTTACAGGCTAGTTTGAGAAAAGGCCTTCTTCCCAAACAAAGTTTTAAAGTATAAAGTTTAAAATAAAGCAAAGCAAATATGCTGGGCAATAACTGCTATGGAGACTGAGAGGAGAGTCAAAATTCCATTCCATAGCACTACCAGGGCCTGCTATGTGCCCGGCAGGTGCTAGGGTCTGGAATCCCAGGGATAAACCAGAGATAGTGTCCCTGCCTTTGTGAAACTAAGGTTCAGGGTTTAGCAGCAATTTCTTGTCAGAGGCAGGGAACAACCTACACAAACAACAACAACAAAAGAAGTGGTGTTGCTTGATGAACAATGAGATTCCTGGGTCCCATCCAAGAGATACCGAGAGTCTGTAGATTTGCAGTCCAGCCCAGGACCCTGCATATTAACAGCCTCTCCTATTAATCAGGAGACTCCTAAGCACTGTAGTTTGAGAACCACTGGATGAGTGGCTGCAAACTGGAGAGACTGAGGAGGCTGCCTGGAGGAGGAGGGGCTTGAGCTGAGGATCCAAGGTCAATTCAGGGGTCAGCCACGTTCACTGGGCCCAGCTCTTGTGTCTGGCACAGTAGCAACATCCTGTGAGAGAGCTGAGAATTCAAGGGCACCCCACCAGAAGGTGACAGACTCAGAATTTAAATTCTTCACCGGCTAGCCCAGCCCCTCTGCAACCCACGCCCACACCACCGCCACACAAACTCTGCGCTCACCTGAATTCTCGCCCTACAAGGGCAAGGTCTCTGAGTCTCTGCTCTTGCCCACACGTCCAAGGCCATTTCAAATGTCACTAACTCTTCACTCCAGACAGCTACCCCTGGGCCAATTTAATTGTTCCCTTATCTGTGTTTCCATAGCACTTTTTACGTATCTTTATTGTAGTGCTAATCTTGTATTATTGTGTTTTGTTTACATTTCTGGCTAAACTCTGATATCCTCAAATAACCCAGGGAGGAAGGTATTAATTTTACCTATTTCGCAGATGAGAAATCTGCTGTTCAGCAAGGAGAGCCTTAGAGAGAGGCAGTAGCTCACAGTGCGAGGAGCCTTGGGTAGAGCCTACTTCTGTCGCTCATTACCTGGGGGACCTTGGGTGAGTTGCTTATCCGGTCTAGTCTTCATTTTCCTTGCGGCACAGCGTGGGTGATGATAAATAGAAACTGCCACAGGGGGCTGGTATGTGGACCCAAGGAGTTACTATTGTAAAGCTCCTAGAAGAGTCCCTGGCACACGGTAAGTGCTATAATATGTAAATGGTTATTAAGTAAATAAATCAGGCCATTGCAATTTGAATCCAAGTCTTCAGATGAAAAAGCTCCTAATCATTGTTCTATTTTAACTCTATAGGATTCCAAATTTTCCTGAAAAGTGGCTCTATTAGAAGTAGCAATAAAAGGAAGCTGATTTGGGGCAGAAGACATTAAAGAGATGAGAGGAAACAAAGTGTCCCAGCAAACTGTTTAACGCACGCTTGGACCAGGGGAGAGAGCAGGTGTCCAGTTCTCTGACCCTGGGTCTATAGCATGTGGGGACACATTCAGGCAGGGACCACTGGGGTAGACTGAGAGCTGGTCCCCCTCAAAGTCTCTTTGCATGTCCTGTTATCCAAACCATAAGGGGGTCTCAGCCTGGTTCAGTTACTCTCCACAAAAAGATCCAATTATTGATCTTTGGCAATTAGGATTGCCAAGGAAGAAAGAAATTTTCTTAATACTAAAGACATCTTTTGGGGAGTACTGGAGAAGCTGCCTCAAATCTGCCTCTCCTACTAATGGAGACGTGGGCTTTTTAAGCAGGGGCCATGTACACTGGGGCAGGTCATGGTGTAACTAACAAGGGGCTACATGGATTGGGGGCAGGTTGAGGGGGATGGAGAGTCTTGGCTTCAGGAAGTCTGCCCTGGGGCCTTCAGAATCTCAGTTACTTTGTCTTGCAGAAAATCCACCATTTCTGGGAAACAACTCAAAAGGCCAAGTAGTTAGTTAAAAGTTTCAGGGTTGTGGTCATCATGCCCTACTGGCCTAAGAATCTAAATCCTGAGAGGGAGAGCATTACAAAAACAGACATAGGGGTCATTGACATTTGTTCATTCAACTGGTTATACTTTCTCTTAAGTCAGTTGTTGGTTAGACATTTGGGCCCTGGGTGACTTACTACTTACTACAAAGACTCTGCATGTGCATCCACAATTCTGCAAGATGGCCCCATTAACAAATGGAAAATGTCAATTATTGCTTTGTTGAGAATGGCAAAGGTATTAACTGATTTCTTGAATATTACATGTGTTGTATTACAATGAATTTAAGACTAAAGTTTACATTCCCAAAGCAAGGAACATTTATCATTTGTATTTTTACTTAATACTGCCTATAAGATAATTGCATAGCTAAACTCTGTTATCATTGTTATTATTAATGTCAATATGGTTAAAAATGGTGGCTTAAATTGTGATTGCCCTGGCAAATGACACACAAAATAACTGTTAGGTAAGTGATAAAAGTATGTGAAAGTTTTCAGTTTAGGGACCTAGGGTAGACAGTGTTTGGCTACATGTGGAAGAGTACTCAGTGATTAACCTTTGTATCAAGTATTAACCATTAACAACTTAGAATGTGTGCTCTTCCTAGCTGGGGGATGTTTTAGAACAGCCATTCTCAAACTTACGCATGAGTCAGAATCATCTCTAGGGCTTGTGAAGACCCTGATTGCTGAAGCCCATCCCCAGAATTTCTGATTCAATATGTCTGCAGTGGGGCCCATGAACCTGCGTTTTTAATTAGTGCCCAGGTGATGCTGATACTGCTGGTTCAGGGACAAACTGAGAACCCCTGAGTCAGAACAAACATTCCCTCACTGGTAGCTCCTTACCACCACCTGGGCTGGAATGCAATGTAATCAGATTTCGTTTAAATAGGCCACCTTAAGCAGTCAAATTTCCCAACCAGTTTTAACATTTTACAGGACAAGAGAGCCATCATTACGTTATTTGTCCTCTAGAGGAAAAAAAAGAACAAACTTTAGTGAGGGATATTTTAAAGAAATCTCATAGTTAATTAACTGTAACCTTAGCTGCATGTTTCTTATGTCCTAATAATTAAACACATTCAGGCTTGCGTTTGCCAATATTTTTATGAGATCATTGAAAAGTACATCTAGGTTAGGGCTAGTGAGCTGAGAGGTGATGACCAGCAGGGGGCACTCTGAGTCAGCTCATGGTGGCTACTGGGACAGGGCGAAGGCAAACACACCAACCATGGTACTTGCTTTAAATCCTCAAAGTAAGGTCCTCTTAACCACTTGTCATAAAATACCCTGAGACACCCGTCTTGGAAAATCGAAGTGTCAAGCTCAGCATCTTTCCCACATTTCAAACTAGGTAATTACCTTCTCTCCCAAAGGGAATCTGTTTTATGTATTTGTGTCCTTTCTAGGTTACAAGTTTCCCAAAGGCAATGATCTTGCCTTCCACACGTTCTATACAATGCTGAAGTGAAATGCACATTTGACAATAACAATTTAATTATTCTACATCCCTCTGAGCTACATGATGACCTGTTATATAATTGCCAGTAATATAGAAACATGCCTGCCTCACATAAACCCTTGCAATAAATGGAAGTTTTTATTTGACCTAAAAGTAAATTGCTTATTTACTTTTCCTTTAAAATAGAAAAAGCAGGCCATTTTCCTGCCACCCCAAATTGTAAGTCATTATCAAATAAACCACACTGATCTGAGTCTGTCATTTTTATTAAGTCTGCAGAGCTGGGTTTTTTTTTACTACACACAACAGATACTTTGATATAATCTAAGATAATAAAATAGTTGAACAACTTTTTTTTTTAAGATTTATATTTGTATAGAAACAATCTGTGGAACTCCTCACCTCAAAATGAAGGTGTCTAAAAACAGAACAGACTCATCTGCATTGCTTTAAATAATTGTTTGGTTAAAGGTGGTGGTTTCCATTCTCAACTGAAATGTGTCTCCATGCAGATTTTCTTGGGTCCAAAGCTTAAGGGCCTTGGGAAGGTGGCCAAGAAAAAAAGAATGAGCATTCTCCTCTCCGTCCTTCCTTTGTGTGGAGGACGGTGATTGGAACAGGGTTGTTACAGAACCCAGGAAGAAAAGAAATCAATTGCACATCTCTAGTTGGCGAGCGTCAAAGTCATAACAAGTCTTTATACAACTCCCTCTCTGCAGATGTGAAATTCCGTCATGAAAGCACAGTGCCTGCTTGCCCCTAAATGTTCCTTCCTCTGCTAATCATGTCAGTTACTATGGATAGGCTGTGACCCTAAGTTCTCCCTACGGACTGGTCGTTTTGCCCCCTCGAAGTCTTGGCCTGTGCATTATGTCACTTGAATGCTATGTCTTGGTGCCCAGTAAGGGTCTACCATCACCTAAAAAATGCCTCACCCCACCCTCGAACCCCCAAAGTGCCTACGAGTGAAGACCCCATAGAGACAGTGTCTTCAGTGAACACTCGGAGCGTGTTCGGGGGTTCACTGGCCTATATCATCCCATTGATCTTAGTCCACTCGTAGATGTCCTGTTCGCACACTATGTCGGAGTTGATGAGGAGGTATCTGTCGCCCACACAGAAATGCTTCTGACAGGCGGCACATTTGAAACATTCCAAGTGATACACTTTGTCCTTCACCCGCATCGTCATCTCATAGGCACGGATCCGCTTGTCACAGGATGCGCAGAGACCATCTTGACCAAAAAGCCTGGAGCAAAAAGATAGAAAAGCTAAGAAGACAGTGAGTGGCAGGGACAATTCTCGGAGACAGGTTTGGGGACCAGTTCTAGAAAGGAGGCTGAACTTCCAGGATGTCAGGAAGCCAGGGAGGGTGGAGACAGATGGATGGCCGGCCAGCGCGGTCTCTCCTTTGCAGGCAGAGGATGCTCGGATGAAGCTGGCATTTGGGTCTAGCATAACTCCCCCCTTTTCTTAGCCCTCTCCCTGCCTTCAGCAACCACTCACCGTTCCCCTAGGCTGCCCCGGGCCCCGCCTCAGTGAAGGAGACTCTCAGCTGGAATGATCTGTGATAAAGGCTTAGGCAGGTACACTAAGAGGAGCAGGAGTAAGACCCTTGTGGCCCCCTTGAGAGGGAATTGACCAGGAATGCAACGCAATGGGCATCCTTCTAGGCTCCCAAACTCAATCATGTCAACAGCCACTGATTCCCCCCACGGGGAGGGCTGGCCTTGAATTCCTCCGAGAAGCTGCAAAGCACATCTCCACTTGATTGTTCGCGGGAGCCCCAGCTGCTGGGAGAAAGGGAGTTCCACAGAAGAGATCTGGAAGGCTACCAGCATCTCTCCGCAATGACTGGGAGATCTTAATTTATGATCCTCACTGCCCCACGGGCATGAATCTTGGGGGAAACTTCTCTTCTGACATTTAAATCAAGACTCTCCCAAGCCTCGGTGATCAGTCAACTTATTTCAAGCAGTATTCAGTGTCAGGGTGGGGGATGCAACATGGTAGAACTCAGTGCAGTGGTTCTCCAAGTGCTGGTCCCGGGACCAGCAGCATCGGCATTGCCTGGGAACTGGTTAGACACACAGATTCCCTGCCCTCCCCCGCCCCCACCCTCTGAGACACTCTAGGGAGAAGGCCCAGCGGTCTGTGTATTCATGAGCACTTCCAGGGGCCTCGGATGCAGGCTGAAGTTTGAGAATCCACCGTGAAACGGGAATAACACAAGCACTGGATTCAGAAGACCCAGCTTCAGTGTCCAGGACCAGCCCTGAGTACCTGAGTGACCCTGGTGAGACCTTTGGATTCTCTGAGCTTCAGTGAGTGGCAGCGGTCATAGCATCTACCTCGCTCGCTGTTAGAAGGTCAAACGGAGCATGTCAGAGCACCAACAGTCAAGGGCTAAGCCAACGCTGGTTATGTTTTAACACATCTCGGGTGCGTTCCCAACTGTGCCAGTCTTGCTGCAGGAAGTAATTTTCACACGCGCTGACAACATAGCAAGCTAGCAGGTGGTTTCCACATAAAACCTTTAGGATGGTTTTAGGTAAATGCTTCTTGTTATCAGAAGTTCTTATTCACTTCAGAATACCAGAGAATCAATTGGTAATGTTCTGAGAGCTTATAGGGGAGATAAGGGCAGATGACAAATTTTGCAACATTTGGGCAAAATTAATGTAATTAAGAAGAGGTGGTCTGTGAGCAGAGAGCTCGTTGTTAGAGCCAGGGCCGGCTAATTTCCCTCTGAATCCCTCTTTCCATTTCAAGATCTCTGAGTGTTTTCAAAGCACCGCCTGGGAGCAAACTCATTACTGGGGAAGACATTTTATCCTAACCCAGCAGATGGTGAAGCTGTAGGTAACTGCCACATTGGAGGTCACAGAGTGGAAAGACAGTTCTGGTTTCCTGACTGTTCAGTAAGTTCAGTTTGGCCTGAGCAAGGATAAACGACTGAGAAACAGTGTGCGTGGAGAGAATCCAACTGCCTGGGGTGTGAGATCCTTAAGGAAGGAGGGAGCTTATTAAGGGAAAGTCGGGGGTAAATTACAATACACATCAGGCAGCTAATGAAGGGAAGGACAAAGGGCCAGTATTTGGGAGACAAGTTCAGGTCCCAGCATCACCTCTAACTAGCTAGGTGACCCAAGCAAATGACGTCCCCTCACCGGGCTTGCATGCCGTAAGCTGTAAAGCAAGGGAACCGGAAGAGAAGCTCCTGGTAACGCCTTCTGGCTCTGGTATTCTGAGATTCTAAAGTCAGTAAAATAAACCCGGACTTGACATCTAACTTGAGCATTAACCAACCTCTGGCACCAAGGATTGGTGTCTCAGGCTGGATATCCCAGCAGCAGACCCCGAGGCAAGGATTTATGTGCAAGTGATTTATTAAGGATGCGTTCTCAGGAAAAACCTATAAGGACGCAGGGGAGCAGGAAGCCAAGCCAAGATGCAACCTCAGGCAAAGTCCCTCGCAGGGAAGAACTCTGGAGTGCAAGTGACGCCCTGGCTCCAGGCAGGCTTGCAAGGCTTTGGTACTTCCACAGTGGCTGGCATGGGTTAAGGTCCACTGAAGGGGGGCGTCTGGCGGGGGCGGCATACTTCTAGATGCAGGTACTGGCTGTTGAGAGTAAAACCACTAGGGGGTGCCTCCCCCCAGCACAACATTTGGTAGAAAGGGATCCAAGGGGATCTGAGCTGGGCACAGACATTAACAGCTGCTGTTAGGCTCCCAACAATACAAGACAACGGTGGCAGGGCTTCTGCGAGGGGGGTCTCATGAATATTTGAGGCTCAATATCTGAAAAGGACCGTAACAGGCGAGTCAGCCATTGGAAATCCTCAAGGGGATAAGTTACCCTGGTGGGGAGAAGGACTGAACCCCATCAGAGGGCCCAGATAGTCACTTCTCCAACTTGCCCTGTTAAATGATACCATGAGATATGCTAAGAATGCAGGTAAACAAGTCTGTGGCTAAAGAAACATTCCCAAAGCAAAAACAATTTTTCTCCTCTGTCAAGGGGTGTCGAGTCTTAAGCGTTCTGCTGCCCATTTTAATAACAATAATATAAATATTAAAGGATGGCTGGAACCGCCTGCGCTAACACAGTTAATTAACATGTTGCCTAGGAATGTGGCAGGGAGAAGAATTATTTCATGTCACCAAGACACAAGTTAATTAACATTGGGTTCTCCCTGACTATTTTTTTTCTCTCTCCTTTTTGAAAATGGAAAAGATTAACAAGCCCAGGCAGCACTGGTTTTATTCTTGAATGTTATATAAAACCGCAGAGATAGAGAGAAGCCCGGGCTCTTTTGACCTTACTCTATCCACACTTCATTTAATAAGATTCAAATGATTTGACAGGGATGTAGTCAGGGGCCCAAGGGGAGTCATTTACCCGTCTGCTTTCTGACTGCCTTGGCAAAGAGGGAGCGAGCAAAACCAGGTCTGTATTTATCCCAGTTCTATTTTCCCGTAACTTAAGAAAGAAAAAAGAAAATTGACCAAAACTATAATCATGATCATTGAAAAACCCTACTTACTTTCTTAGAATCACCAAATTTGCAAGGACTTTATCAGGGCGTTTAGGAGGGGAAAAAGCTTAGTCTCTCAGTCTTTGGGTAAACAGATAAGCTTCCTTCACTGTGGCATTGCCTGCAGATTTTTTTTTTTAAATGTAAAATGCTCTGAAGGCAGGTTTGAAAGAAGAGCTGGCCTAGCAGTCAAGGGCACTGAGGTCTAAACAAGCTTCCATGGGTTGGAGGGTTCTAATGTATGAGGGGTGCATGCTTCACAGACCCTCGGCCGCAGCAAGATGGTGAAAAACTGACAGCTACACAGTTGAGCAGATCTGACAGCAGAGGGCACAGGGAGAGTTACCTCCACAGCAGCTAAGATGCAAACAGAAATGCTAGAACATTCCAGGCAAAGGTACTTGTTGAGTGCTGGAATATTCGGATGGCCAAAAGTATGACCTAGAGCACAGGAGATGTCCTCGGCTCCTGTCTCACTTGGCGTTGTCAAGTTCCTATTTTACCCTTCCATTCTTCCATCTCTTCGTTCATTAGATTGGAAAATACTTAATGATTATGTCACGAGGGTAAATTATAAGAGCAGCTAACATCTATTTGACACTCACTCACCAAGCCAAGTACTTTACATGTGTTCTTCTATCTAATCCTCGCCACTTCCTTGGAAGTAGGTATTATTATTATCCCCATTTTACCGAGACTTAGGGAGGTTAGTTACTTGCCCAGGGTCACAGAGCTGGAAAGCAATGGTGTTGGGACTCAAACCTACAACTCACTCGGGGACTTTGCCCTTATGTCCTTCGAATACCGCCTTCCTCCTAGCAGAGTCAAGGCTTGGAGTTCCATGGCAACAGCATGCTATTTTTAAATTTCTCATCACATAATATTGGAGTCATACAAAAAAATATTTATGACCTATTATATATGTTTTGAAGCGTTCAAATGAGCTTCTAGGAACCCACCCCCAAATGTATAAATTAAAACACCCCCAGTTCCTGTGATCCTCTACGTGTACTCCCTGACCCTACCCCCATGACTGCCTGCCCCCCAGGGAACTACTGTCCTGAATTTTGTGTTTTATCATTCTCTTGCCTTTAAAAACATTAGTATTTTATCACATAGGAACATATGCCTGAGGACTCGCTTCTCAAACAGGAAGAAAAGCCAACTGCTTCTCTGCATGGGGAGCTGAGATTCAGCCTGTACAGCCCGGCCTCTTTGGGCAGGTGGTGTCCAAGCCCAGAGCAGGAGTGGCATCACAGGTGCAGATGTCCATGGCCCACCCGACCTCCCTGGAGGGCCCCGGGGGCGGCTGGAAGATACCTCAGATAGTCTCTCCGGCAGAGCTTGCGGCCCAGCTTGTAGTAGAGGCGCCGCCCCACCTCGCCCAGCCGGCACCCACACAGGTCACAGCTGAGGCAGTCCTCGTGCCAGTACTGGTCGATGGCCTTCAGGAAGTAGCGGTCCCCAATGTTCTGCTGGCAGCCGCCGCATGTCAGCAGGGATGGGGGGATCTGCAGCACCTCGTCCACTGGTTCCCTGGAGACAAGGCCAAGCGTTAGGGACAACCTCGTGGCTGAGACTAGCACTGGAGCTCAGGGTTCGCTCTGGGCCACACAGGGAGCCTCCCTCAATTGCCTTTTGGTGACATAAGGAGAAGGGACAGGACAACACATCCCTTGGCCATATCGCAGAGAGCCCCAGCCAAGTTTGGGTTAAGACAGAAGGGAGTTAGACTTTACACCCTAGATTCTCTAAGTGAACACAGGGCACCAAGAGGGGTCAAAGGCAACTGCAGGTGGCACTGGACCCCCCACCCACGCCCAGCACCACCTGGCACCTCTGCTCTCGCTTCTGCTTTTTCCCACTGTCCCCTCGGACTCTCCTCTATCTTCACAGTTCCCTCTCTTTCTCCTCCTCCCATACCCAGCACCCAAGGGCACTGCCTAACCTCAGAGGAGGCACTCGGGACCATGCCCGGAGTGCTAACAATCTGCAAACTCCCTGCTGAATCTACGCCACTCTCCTTCCAGCCCTTCCGAGCCACACAAAAGCAGAGGTGAAGAAGAAAGAAGGTGACCAAAAATTATTTTAGGTTGTTTTCTCTTTCCAAAATAAAAATCCCATCATGATATAAGAGGAACTCTCCTTATTTTATTTTATTTTTAAACAGAAATTCCAAATCCCATCCTTTTTACTCGATGAATCTTTGGAGAAAAGCCCTAGATATAAGGCCATTGTCAAATTTATGAAGGACATCAAATAGACCTTTCTTTCTGCACCTGAAAATTTGTACAACAGCGATACTGATTTGGATAAAGTTGATTTAGGAACAAAAATGAGGAGAGGGCAATGGTTATTTTAAACAGAGTAGAAGGCAATTAAACAGACACTGAAATCTCAATCAAGGCAATTAGTTAATAGTGGGCCTGGGATACGTGTTCTTCTTTTTTTTTCTTTTTTTTAACCCAAAAAGTACGTACAGGATACGTGTTCTTTCATTAAACAGCCATGCATTGTGTCTTCCCATTCACGTTGCTTCACTGGAATCTGAATACTTTTGCTTTACATTTTAAAATAAATAATTTTGCCAAAGGAAAATAGGGGAGTGGAAGGAATGATTCTAGCACCAAATGGGACACAGGAAAAAACCTGATACTTGTTGATTTGTAATAATTAACAAGTGCTATCTGGAACCCTACTCAAACACAAATTTATTTTTAAAAAAATCTATTATGTTTCAAAAAATGGACCTTCTTCCAACTGTGAAATTCCCAAAGGGAGTTTCCTCCTGGGTACCTTGGAGTTATAAATCTGTGTCTCCTATTTCTAGCTAGCACTCACTTACCAGGTGACCTTGCGTCCTAATTGGCCTGTGCTCACAAATCTCAGCACCCATTACCCTCAGGGACGAGAGGCTCAGGTGATCCGTGTTTATGACACACTCTGACAACTTCGGGTGACTCTGTCAGGTAAAGTGTGAAGTATTCCCTATGAATATTCATTCAGAGATGCTAAAACCAAGCCCACATTTTGTAGATAAGAGTATATGAGCGCTTCATGAGATTATCATCTTTAGAACAAGGAAATGCGAAGCTCAAGCCAGTTTCTTTGAAAAACAAAATCAAAACCATAGTTTTAAGAATTCACTGAAGCCTGACTTGCTTTCCTTTGTTTCTATAGGTTGTACATAAGAACATCTTTTCTCTTTTCTAATAACTAATATCCTGGCCTCTTCCTGTGCGTCAGCTCGATTGCATCTCTTCTCCTGCCACAGCTCCTCTGTCTTACTTTGCACTTTCAAAAACACTCATGAACCTCATGCACCACACTGGATGCTCCCACGCCGATGCTGCCAACCAGCTGTGAAAGAGAATTTGCACGTAGCTGGAGCAAAACCGCCCGGAATTAAAATGAAGTGCTCTAGTTACTCACGGGGAGGCAGCAGGGGCCACCAACTGCACGGTGAGGAAACCTCTCTGTTCACGAATTCTGGCCTGTTTTTCTGCCTAAATGTTTCATTTTTGCATGCCCAGGCAAGTCTCTACCTATAATTTGGAGATGCTGATTGTAATGACCCAAGTTGCACTTTGACTAAGTCCACAAGGAAGCGTCTAGCTGGATGGTGGGCCGCAGTAGGAATGCAAAGGAAAAGCTCTATCGTGAGGGCCTGAGATGAGATGGAGAAGGAAAGGATAAGATACTGGCTCCATCAATCTTTCTAGAATTAATGATAATATCACATTATCTTTGGTGGACAATCCAAGACAATGACTGAATGGGATTCACCCTCAAATTAATATTTTCTATTCTCCCAGAGTCTATCCTGAGGATTACACCTGAGTATCACTTCAGCCTGGATTTCTGGGGTAGCTTCTCAACAATTTCTAAGATGGGGGGAAATACGTGCTGCAACAATTTCTCACCTAGCTTGTACGTCTCTGATTAGAACCCATCTTCACTGGGCGAACAGTGAGGTGAAGGATGGGATAGGCGAGCCTGCTCTATGTTAGGAAGTTAGGAAGTTAGGATGTTTCCATTTTCTAACCTCAGTGAAAAAGCACAAACTTTGAAAAGAGCCAACTTCCTTCAGGGAACTGAAACCTCCAGATTTATCTTCTATTCAAAGAATTAGTCACTAAGTTCTGCTGATCGAGAAGGCATTGGGCACCAGTTCATCCAAGTCACTCCCTTACTGTAGTGCTACGATCTTGCCCAGTGTCTGAAACTCAGAGCTCAGTTGTAATTCTAAGTTTATAAAAAAGTGAACAAACTACCCTTTAAACCCATTGTTGCACAGACCTATACTTTTTAAAAGGAATGTTATTTTCCTTCTGGGAATTTGTTTAAGGAAGCTGGGCTTTTGTTATGACAAACCTAGCTCCTCGTAGAACTGGTGTCTTAACCTTCAAGGCTGAACAGTGATGTTTATGCTCTCATTGGATGGTGGCACTTCCTGTGTTTTATGAGAACATGCTGAGCTTTTATGCCCTTAACCCAGGGTAAAACCCAGGTAAATAAACACCATAGAAAGCTGAAATTGGAGGGGGTGGTAGGTGGGTACTTCAAGCAGGAAAGCACAATTCTTTTAAAGCAGGAAAGGAAAAAAAACAAATGCCTCTTTAAAGCACAAATGGACAAGCCATTAACCAGCTCCTTTGGTCTTGTGTAACAAATCTCTTCAAAGGATTAGAAGGGGACTTCAAAGGAATAAAAATTCTCAAAACCAGACAGCTAATGACTTTTAAAAGGGCATTTGCATTGACAAGAAAATGATATCTTAAAAACCTCTGGCTTCTCGTGTTAACACTAAAGAATGGGTTGGGGGTATAGGTTGGGAATAGGAGAATATTCCGTACCAGTATGAGGCTGAGAAACAGATGCGCAAATGCTCATTACAGCTCTGATTCCCTGACCCCAAAACCCTTTTGAGACTATGATAAACACTACGAGACCGCTCCCCAGAAAAATTCACCTATACACAAAATAGTGCACTAACTTTTGAGGTTCACAGGCCCCCATCAGTGGACCCCGGGGAGTGGGTTACATGTACCCAGATTTACTCCGGATTTAGCTGCTCTAGAAGGCTCTGGAAGCCGGAGAGAGCTCCGAGGTGGACGGTCGGACCTCTCGCCAGCCAGTTACCCGCGCAGCTGGCAGCCGCCCCACCTGCGGACCGAGAAGGGTGCAGTCGGGGACCCCCGGAGGCCTCCAGTTGGAATGTTCCCCTTTCCGAGACCAAATGGACAAAGAGAAAGAGGGCCGAGAAGGAGCGAGATGCGAGAAGGGGGCAGAATCAAGCCCTGAACGCTCTCCGGACTGCACCTGCGCGCCTACAAGCTCTCCGTGTGCCTGCTCCTGTGCAAACTTTCTGGCCCGCGGTGGCTTTGGGGAGCGTCCCAGGTAGCCTGGAGGGGCCCGCAGAAGCTCCCGGCCGATCCCCTCTCCCGGCCGCCCGCTGCCAAGTCCCCCCGGAGTCACCCGCGAGGAAGGGGGAGCCCCGCGCAAGGCAGAGGGGACCCAGGGCATGCCGTGGGTGCGCACCTAGAGCCCCCTCCAGGGCCGCCCGCGCCGCCCCCGCCCCTCGCCGCTCCAGGGCGCGAGGCCGTGGACACCATGGGTGACAGGGGCGCCACACTTACTCAGACGGGTCCAGGCTCTTCCTTTCGATGGCCGAGGACATTGGGGAGGGAGGCGGCGTGCCGGGCGGCGGGGGCGCTCCCTTTGTGGCGCGGGGCTGGCCGGCTGCCGGGGCTCGGACCCCCTCGGGTGCTCGGGCGCCGCCGCCGCCGCCGCTCCTGCGCCTCCGCTTGCTCCGGCGCTCCGGCGGCGAGCTCGCCCCTCCGCGCTCAAGGACAGTCACCGCGCTCCCTTCAAACGCCAAAGAGAGAGAGCGAATCACCGGGCTGCGGGCGCGCCGCGGCCGAGGCGGGGGCCGGGGCGCGCAGCCTGGCCCCGGGCGGCTGCAGCTGCTGCTGCTGCTCAGGACTTAACCTTCCATCCCGGTCCCGCCGCCGCCACCGCCGCCGCTGCCGCCGCCCGGTTCCGATCGCGCGCCGTCGCCGGCTCCGCGCCGCCCACGGAGATGGTGCGCGCCCGCCCGGCCGCCCGAGCCCCTCGCACCTTCGGCCGGGGTCGCGGCGCGCAGCTCGCCGCCGAGGGCGGAGAGGGGGCGGCGGCCGGGGGGCGGGGAGGGGACCGTGCGCCTCTCCCCGGGCTTCCTCCTCTCTCGGGAAGGTCTATTTTCGCTCAGCTTCCCTCTGTCTCTGGTTTCATTTCCTTTTTCCTGATCACGATTCAAATACAATAGAAGGAAATCACATTTAAAGAGACAGCTGCCCAGTCCCCCCCTCCCCTTTTTTCTTTTTTTTTTTAAACGGGGCTCCTGGGTATTAGCAATACAAACAGCAGCATCAGGACTGACTTGGCTTCTTAAAGGGGCCAGCGTCGGGGACGGAGAGAGTCGCTCAGTGAACACTCTCCGTGGC